CTTTGCAGCCTGTGGCCAATGAAAAGTGAAAGCATTGAGGAGAAAAGAGTAAATATATAAACTTGATTGTTAGCACGCATTAATGCTAGGAGTGCTACTGTGCTCATGCAAATGCATCAGCCAGTTTGTTGAACACAAGCTATTCCATTGATTTAACTGAGACTACATGGTTATTATTGTCAAAGCTCCAATGAAGGAAATAATTAGAGCACTAAGCATTTTAAAGGTTCTGAAATGACTTCAGGCAATAACCAGAAAATACAGGAAATCTATATACAGCTGTTGAAAAAATGTAGAATTTCTGGTCTTTACTTTTTAAGTCTTCCCAATGTTTTCAAGATTTCCAGGACCTGGACAGTTGATAAGTGTGTGTGTGTGTGTGTGTGTGTGTGTGTTGGGGGGTGTATAGGCATGGCTATGCACGTATAGGAGCATATACACGTGCACAAACATGGAGAGGCAAGAGGTCAAATTCAAGTGTCTACCACTATTCTTTTCTTAAAAAGGTTTCTTGCTGAATCTGGGGCTCCATGTTTTGGACTGACCGGTTGACAAGTACATCCCTGAGATCTAGTACTGGGGTTATGGAAGTGTGTGTATTCCCTGTGTCTAGTTTTAACATGGTGCTGGGGAATTCGAACTCAGATTCTCATGCTTGTGCATCAACCACTTTACTCACTGAGGCATCTCCTCAGTACCTAGATAGTAAATCCTTTTCACCATTAACAGGGAGACTTTCTGCAAATTCCATTTGCTGCAGGAGTCATTTTTTTTTTAATTTGGAGATCGTACTCTATCATTTAACTGAATAGAGTCTGAATAAGATGAGGAAGCTGGATAGACACTCAACAGTTGAAGAGTCTGGCTGCTCTAGCAGAGGACCGAAGTTCGGCTCACAGAACCTCCATCAAGTAGTTTGGAACCACCAGTAACTCCAGCTCCAGCTCCCTCTTCTAGGCTCCAAGGGTACCAGCAATCATGTGTGCACACCCACACACTTACATGAAAACAAAAATTCTTTTAAAATCCTTTGTAAAAGAAAGTATGAGGTTGTGTGTATTCTCACTATTACTCTATAATTTCTTTGAAAAAGAGAAACAAACAAACAAAACAGAAGCAAAAGCAAAAACCTAGCCAGACAAAAAACCAACCTTCACCCATATTTCCAGGGCCATCAAGTTCAGGAGATTTCAAACGACAGCAGAAAGGTACCTAGAGAAGCCCTGAGTGTGGCCCTGGGTGCAGTCCCTCCAGATATGCGCAAACATTCTGCCTCTCAGGGCTGCTCTGCCTCAAGGAGTATTACTTCTTGTAAGCAGTGATTCAATGTGAGTATATGGGAACATCACTTATTTTTGGTTGCTTATTATTGGAAGGAATTGTTAACATCAAGCAGAATAACCTGAAGTGAACCTCAGGGAGATGAGAGAGTATGTGCAAAAAACAAGAGACCTTGGTACATGAGAAATGTGTCAGAAAGATGTGAGAGCTCAGCACTGTCCCTGTGTGCTGCTGTTGTTTATGTCCATCTGACACTGTCTAGGACATGTCCTTATGACTTAGAGGAACTTACATGAGTTTGGCGTTTATTTTAACTAAGTTGATCTCTCAAAACAGAGCATTGCGATGTTTTTGAACACCTTGTGTTTATTTCATTTTCTACTCCTCCCTCTACTGGCCGCCATCTTGACTGCTACACAGATAAACGATAATAGGATAGACAGAGAGAGCACCTAGCTGTCCTCAGACTCCTCTTCTACAACATGTGGACAAGAATCATCCCTTCCTTCAAGGGTTTTGAGAATTAATTGAGTTCAGAAAAGTAAAACTCTCAGTTAATTGACACATTGTATAGTGTGTAAATCTTACAAAATTACGATAATTTTGCTTTGAAAGTTATGTTGAGCAAACCACTTCACAGTTATGCACCTCAATTTCCTTAACACAGAAACATAAATTTATCTTCTACCACCTCAAATGCATCACGCTTATGAAAAGGATTAGGCAGACATGAGACAAAATTCATTTTAAAATCCCGACAATGGAACTGACGTGAAATTAGTTGCAACACTAGTTTCATCTCTTAGTAGCTATGTGACCTTATGTGAGACCTTAGGTGTGATGATGTCTATGAAATAGTAATGCTAAGAGGGCCATCTCATGAAGTTGTTGGGACAAATACCGTGCATAAAACATCAACTCTGTGACTGACACTCAGAAATTATTTAAGAATGCTTTCAAAATGTGGTCTATATAGGAAATACCTATCATTTTGACTTCTCAGTGGTTTACTGTGGCCCATTTGGATATGTAATCAGTATCATATTTTATTTCTACTTTAAAAAAACCCTATATCCTAAATATTTTTCCTGTAATATCTACTCTTAGAAGATAATAGATTTTGGTGTTCATGGTGGTTATTTGAGAAATCTTCATACATATAAGAGAAGTACTGACAGAGAAGGGATTCACTGATCTTAAAGTCCAGCCTGTGGTTATTAAGAGACAAGAACTACAGGCAAGTGTTACTGTCAAAATGCGCAAATCAAAAAATAGCACAGAACACTCAACGTCATCATGCGGGAAAATCCATTTGTCTTGCAGCCTATATGCATGTAAATGTGTATGTGTTTGGGACAGTCTTACACAAAATGAAAGTTAAAGAGCAAAATGAGAAGAGACATCACATAGCATAAATAATGCAAATAGTGTCCAACCTACTACTAAAGTCAGGATGACAAATAGTTACCTATTTCTACCCAGTCCACTTTTTCTTGTTATTTCCAACTTAAGTACAAGAGAATGCATTAAATTTTTTAGAATATTACCAGGCAGTGGATGCGCACACCTTTAATCCCAGCATTTGAGAGGCTGAGGCCAGCAGATCTCTAAGTTGGAGGCCAGCCTGGTCTACAAAATGAGTTCCAAGAAAGCCAGGGCTGCACAGAGAAACCCTGTCTAAAAAAAAAAAAAACAAACAAACAAACAAACAAACAAACAAACAAAACAAACACAAAAAACCCAAACCAAAACAAATAAACAAAACAACTTTATAGAATATTGACTGTATTTAGTTGTAGTCAAAGAAGGCCATGACTCAGAAATTCGGAACTTGAGGGTTCATGGTCCAGAAATACCATAGTATGTATTATTCTACCAACCTTACTGCAGCAGATGCCCAAAGAAGGTCAAGGTGAATTGGTGCGATAGAGATTAGGTTCTTGGGCAAACTGACCACAGTCTGATCAAACTTAAAACACACCTCTGGAGGCAAAAAGACATGCCTGTCTTTGCTGCAGCAGCTGGGTCATGTCCTCATTAATAAGTCTGTCTTCCATGTCATTTGTTAAGCTGGAAATCAAGTGATTAGCCTGTAGGGATCTAGGAATTCAGTGTCGTCATCATTGTCATTTCCCCAACCAACATTTGGTCTAGGAAAATAAAATCTTGAAGTAATTCGAAAAGTGATTGTCAAACAATGCAATTGAGGATAGACTCTCAGTAACCTCAGAAAAGAACACAAGCTCAAAAGAATTTCCATAAGCTTTTAAATTTGGCAAGAGGGCTACACTAGCTCTGATAATTAGACTTTTCAACACATTTGGATTTGCTAATTGGATCTAACTTCTAATTAGACTTTTATGTAACTAAGAATGACATATCATGGTATGAATTTAATGTGCTTTTACAGTTGAAACCAACAATTATCAGGCTTTTCCAAATTATCTTAATAAAGAAAAACCTGGCTTTGTTGATCATATTGTGACATCTCTGTCTCTTGCAATGTATTGAACACATTTTAGTTTTCTTAATTAAACACCTTTGGGGAGCTCAAAGAGACACTTGCGCTTTAATAAGAATCACCTAAGTTATTTGTTTGTGAGGGAGACTTGCCAGTATGTTGATGACTTTGGAAGCTACAGACAAAACTCAGTACAAAGAAATAAATCATTGAAGGAAATGGCACAAGCAACCAGGTGCCCCTGTAATAACTCAATTAATCAAATTGTTTCCAAATATGACTGAAGCTGGGTTACAATTTTCCCTCCTGCACTCACAGAACAGGTCTCAGTGTGAAGGCTCGTGGAGCTGGCATTGGGATAAAAGCCCGACATCATTCCCACTGTGCACATACCCTCTTCTCTCTTTCTTGAAATGTCACTCATTAATGTGAGCCTCCTCATTTCTTTCTTTCCTCCTTAGTTCTAATTGAGACTCATCAACTTTTATTCCTCTGACATTTGAAGGCAGTAATTTAAAAAAGGGATAGCCCTCAGATTTGGATACTACAAGAGGCAATAACTATATGAGGGCAGACATGCATTAAACCACCATTTTGAACAATAAAGAATAATTAGCCTATGGTTTCCTCATGGAAAGAGTGTTGTCAAAATATTTCAAGAAAATTAGTAGCACTGACCAAAAACCGAATTACATTGTTTTTATGTATTGTGAATACTTAAAGCACACACACACACACACACACACACACACACACACACACACACACACACACTTTATATGTGACTATCCCCTACATAAAAGTAGTTGATCTTCTATCCATATAAAATGTTTTTACTGTTTTAAAGCTCTTTATTCCACTAAAATCACTGTACAATTAAATGACAGCATTAAGGCTCTGGGAGAGTTTAACTTAGGCAGTAACTGCTATGTCAGTGAGAAATTTTGCAAGGGTTACATGCACTTTTATTCTTCCAATTAGCACATTACAGTGATGGAGTTATTGGTGGATATGTGGCTCCTCATTAATTCATATGTCCTCCATGATTCTTGTAAAGTACGCTGGCTTCTGACATATGCCATATGATGGTATTTAAAGGCAGGAGATGACATTTCTGATGGCTTCATTTGCTATTAAAAGAGATAAGTTTTCCATACCAGTTATTCCGTGAGGTATCACACGATTCTCTATAAGGTCTACACAGAGGTGACTGGGCTGCTCTTTAAAGAAAAGTGACCAAAGATACTTTGCCTTTCAGCTTGGGTGCTGGAATCCTGTCACGGGTCTGAATGGGTCACTGACTGACAAGAAACTGGAGAACAACATGCGGGGCGTGGTTCTTCGTGTGGTGACTGTACTGGTAAGCACCCTTCTAACCCTGTGGTTTGGGCCCGTAGAATGTCCTCTGTTTTTCATTGATTTTTCTTCTCTCAACTAATGTCATAATCTAAAAATAGCTTTTGAATGAACCTTGACTGTAATTTCTAAGAGAGCTTCAATGGTCATGTTATTCAGCCTCCCATCTCTGTGAATTTGAATTTGATTTCTGTAGACTATCATTTTCATTAATGTGCTTTTGATAGACTCTCCCTTAGACTTTAGATCTGGTTTTCTACAGTTTTCTATACATTATAAGAAGAAGGACCCCTCAGACACATCCATCCCTGGAACAATAGGATGCACATAGAGGTATCAATGCAGAGACCGCCCAGTTGTTTAATAGATGCTTATCTAGCATTTAGTGTGGCTTTCTGGGGCTACTAGCAGATTTAAAAAAAAGATATATGTGACTGTCTTTTATAATTTTATCATTTATGATTCTGTGAATGGGATTATTTATATGGGACATTTGTTACAATTCCACTCGCTTATTGGAAATTCATTTTTTTTTTTTTTTTTTTTTTGGTTTTTCGAGACAGGGTTTCTCTGTATAGTTTTGGTGCCTGTCCTGGAACTCACTCTGTAGTCCAAGCCGGCCTCAAACTCACAGAGATCTGCCTGCCTCTGCCTCCCGAGTGCTGGGATTAAAGGCGTGCACCACCACCGCCCAGTGGCGGAAATTCAAATTGTTTTCATTCTCTGTCATCTTTAGCTGGAGAGGTGGTTCAGTGACTGACAGCTCACATGGCTCTATAAGAAAACTGAGTTTGATTTCCAGCATCCATGTCAGGAGGCTCACAAGCATCTGTAACTCCAGCGCCAAGGGAATCCAATGACAATGGCCTCTGGGCACTGGTGCCATGCACGCCTACCCCCATAGAGACCCACACACATACACATACATACTTAAGAAGATAAAATAGATTTTTTTAAAGTAGGAAAAGGTCTCTTATAGGCTAAATTAATTGCAGAATTAGCGAACGTAAAAGGCTATTTGGTATGTTGATAACAATTGGATGTTCAATACCAAGCTCTTTGTATACTTGTTTAATATGAATTAACAGATCTAAACATAATTTCCTTAAAAATTATCTCAGACATCCGCAAAAAGAAATCTAAATAAGTAGCCTATTCCCTCTTTTGGCATATCTATAATTTATTTCTAGTTGTTATTTTAGCAAGGCTCTCACTTATAATTATTTCACCCATGTTTTACAACTGAAATGTGATTATGCTTCTGTTTGAACCTAAGTGTGTGGACATCAATTTGTAGTTAAGTGCTAATAGTTAAAAGATAGCCAGTTGAAGTACAAACAACTATTACTAATCTCTTTTCTATTAATTATCATGTAAACTCTGTGACAAACACCATAAAAGCTGGTGCATGGGATTTGGTTTTCTTAGAGAAAGAAAAACAGAGTTTTAAAGCAAATTAACAAATTCAGATGCCTGGCACATAATTATTTAGTATTTAGCATATGATAGGCTTGGCAATATATAGAGAGTACCTAACACAGACCCTAATCTTGAGGTATGATTAGAATTTGGTAGATGGACTCTTCGTAAACCAGTTAAGATTTATTATTTACTATGTCAGATCCCCTGTGAAGTCCTCTGTATATATATCATCTATTTCAGTGATTTCAGTATTCAGAGTGTAAACTATTCTAACCCACCAAAATATGAGTGAGTAAAACAAATCAACCACAAAGTGAAAAGAAAAAAAAATGTGAAAGACTCCACAGATGACAGAGTAGAGTTGAAATTCAAATCCAACAATCCTCCCCTCCAGACCTTTTAACTCCTTCCCCTATGTAGTGAATCAGCCTCTCTCCACTCCTGCTGTGATTAGAGAGAGAAGTGAGACATCTATGGAATGCTATTTGACTGGAGAATTAGGGACGTTTCAATTTTGACTGAGGTAAAAGTGAGTTTTATGGAGAGAGCTTCACAGGACCAATCATGTTAAAATCATTTCCAGGCTGAATAAAATGGTTTTGTTCATGGAGGACGTGCTTCCTGTGGTGGTAATGCCGCCGCCTATCCCAGATTCCCCTGTCTGTTTGCGGTAAACTAAGCCATGCACAGATCTTGAGAGCAGACAACTAGTGACAGGGTGAGCAGTTTGCTTTCCCTGTTGTCTACAGTGAGCTTAGCAGCTGGGTGCCCCGTTGAATGAGCATTTATACTCACACAGTTTACAGCCAGTGTGTAATACCTTCACACACTTACTTATTCCTTTACAGGACTCAATCTGACACTGTCCTTCCTGCTTATTTCCTATATGCATGTTTCTAAATCTAACTCTGTTATGTCATCTTACAAGCTCTCTCCATCCAAATTGATAGCCACACCCCCTCAGTTCACCCAGTTCCTCCTAAATCTTGATGCATTCATTATCAGGCTATTGCAGAACCATGGCTCCATCTACAGTTGAACTAGAACTGGCTATGTGACCACTGCCCCAGTATCTTTTATTCCAGGAATAGATCTCCAATACTTACCCAAGGGGTGAAGAGCCCCAGTGTAAGTCCCCAGGAATGACTTTTTAATGTTTATGATATCACAACAGAAATCTAGTCAACTCCACTCACCCACTTTACTTCTTAGAAAATGTATATGGCCGGGCAGTGGTGACATATGCCTTTAATCCCAGAACTCGGGAGGCAGAGCCAGGCGGATCTCTGTGAGTTCGAGGCCAGCCTGGGCTACAGAGTGAGTTCCAGGAAAGGCACAAAGCTACGCAGAGAAACCCTGTTCAAAAAAAACCCAAATAGATAGATAGATAGATAGATAGATAGATAGATAGATAGATAGATAGATGATAGAAAAAGAAAACATATACCATCAGTTACAAGAAGTCATGAAGCTGACTTTACTTACTTCAGTTTTGAAACACCCATTTTTACCTTTATTAATGATATTTTAGTGATCTGATGTAAACAGTCAAACATCGATAAAATAATTTGAGACTCCATTACATGGGGACCCTAGAGGCAGGCAGCAATTAGTAGAGTCAGGAAATTTATCTAACAGGATTAAATGAGGTAGCTGTCACAGAACAGTGAACTCCATTAAAGGAACCCACAAGGGTGCTGCAGCACCTGGGCATGGGTGGGTAGGGAAACGTGGGGTTTGATGGAGGCTGAAGGGGATTTCAGCAGCTGGAACCAGAGCAAATGATGTAACCCTGGGGTCTGTGGATGTTGGGACAGGAAGAGATTGCAGAGTCCCTGCTCAAACTGCGACCAGGAAGACGCCGTACACCAAAACACAAGCTACTCCTGTCTCACTCCTGTAGAAGGAATATTAAAAGGTCTTATTAATAAAAACAAACATGGAGCCAGGTATTGGAGTGAATGCTGGAAGATCAGAGAAGCAGAACAAGCCACAGCTACCTCATCTGGCCAGTTCCTCAGCTGATCCTGTTACCTTAGACTGGAAGCCTCTGAATCCTTATCCAAATGGATCTCAGCTGAACTGCTTCTTGAAAGCCTGAAAGCTTAACCAACCTAGTTCCTGGTCTTCATGCCTTATATACCTTTCTGCTTTCTGCCATCACTTCCTGGGATTAAAGGCGTGAGACACCCTGCCTGGCTGTTTCCAGTATGACTTTGAACTCACAGAGATCCAGATGGATCTCTGCCTCTGGAATGCTAGAATTAAAGGTGTGTGTGCCACCATTTTCTGGCCTCTATATCTAGTGACTCTTCTGTTCTCTGACCCCAGATAAGTTTATTAGGGTGCACAATATTTTGGGGAACACAATATCACCACACACTCCCACTGCTTTACCAGCACTTTCCTGTCCCTCCAGTTAAAACTTCAGCCAGAAGTCAGGCCACACCCTGAGTAAGCCAGAATGTTTTTGTCTCTTCCAACATAGAGTAGACAGTGAGGGTTGTGGTAGGTCTAGAGGGAACCAGGAAGACAAACCAGCACTGTCACATAACCGGACCAGCTCAGAGTTCAGTTACTGAGGCCATTTGCTTTGCCATTTTGTCTTCTCAATCAAAAATAGAAACAGAAAACACAAACAAACAAACAAACAACAAGCAGAACTCTTATTGGTTTAGATTAAATACGTTATGACAACTGAGCTCTGAGGACATGTGTTACTGGATTGACAGCACAAGGACCTTTTACAGAATGATATCACCTTGTTTTTTTTTTTTTTTTTTTTACCATATGCAAAGCCACAGAAATATTTCTTGAAATAGAGGAAGCAAAAGCATTAGTCAGACAGACCCTGCCTCCAGTTTCTCTGATAGTCCCTTTTCTGTTTCTTGCCAGTCAGCACCTGTTTTTTGTTTGTTTGCTTGTTTGTTTGTTTTTTAATCAAGTATCCCAAGTACTTGGTGTTAGTGCAAAACAACAATGAAGATGTTTTTTCTCTTTTAACAGGCTGTTATATTAATGTAGCTAGTCATTAAGGACCAATGTGCTATTTGATTTTTTTAACCTGATAATTTACACAATTTTAAACTTCATTGTGTCATTCATATAATCCTAAAACTTAGAAACTAAAATGAAAAGGCATAAGTGGTCATATATGAAGAAGTACAAAATGCCCAAGAAGCACAATCATCATTTACATGGTGTGTATTTGTTAATAATTCTTATTTCCATGGGTTGATTGTACTTAAATAAGATTCGTAGCATCTCTAAGGAAGTGTGTGTTCACTCCTTAGTTCCTGTGAGAATACCTACAATAGTCTTCCAGGTGCTGGGGCAGATACAATACATACAATACACATCCTTCAGGAAGCCTCTTAATCACAGGACATCTGCCTAGAGGAGCTTCATCAGAGCATACCCACCTACAGGAAGCTTCCTCCAGCACAGTGGTTCTCAACCTTCCTAATGCTGTGACCCTTCAATACATTTCCTCTTGTTGTGGTTGTTAGAGTGTTTGTGGAAGGGTAACTTGGTGGCTCAATCAGGGCCAAGGAATGCTGCAAAGATCACCCCATGCAATGG